ATATAAAAGCTAATATTTTAGTAGTTTCTTATTGTGCTTAAAGCTCTTTTGTTGTATTTAAATGCAAATTAAGCATGTAGAGTACACACACACACACACACACACACACATATATATATATATATATATATATATATATATATATATAGTTTTTTTTATATATATATATAAGCATTAAAACAATCAGAATTACTCACGATTTTTGGGCCAAATTAAATTAGCCTTTAATATTTTTAGAATCAAGTAAAAGGTTTCTAAATAAAATAAAAATGTGGGAATGAAATTGGTATATATATATATATATATATATATATATATATATATACTGTATATATATATATATATATGGAATATTTATTTTTTACAGGTGTTTTCCAGTATTTAGAATTTTACCCTTCATTGCATTGTTTTAGAGTTAACAGAATTGTTTGTAAAATTAATGGATAACGTTGTGTGTAATGAGCTGCATATACTTTTTGTTATTTTACGGATTTATTTTTTACAGTGTGCATATACGTATATATATATATCCATGTTATTCTATATTTGTATTGATTTGTGGCTACATTGGTATCATACATCAATATCAAGACAAACAGAATATTTTAAACAATTAGGAATCAAATAAGTATTTTTCATTTATATTGATTTAACATAAAACAATTAATTTTACTACAAATTTTAGAACATGTATTAGCTGTTAAGCTATTTCAGAACTGTTTTCTGTTTTCTATTATATGTCAATTTATGTAGCTAATGTGAAAATAAATATTTGTTTGTTTGTTTATTTATTTGTTTGTGGTAAATGTTACATTTTAAAGATACAAAGTTTTTTTTTTTTTCAATATTATGCAGTCATAATGTGCCCCATCCTAGTGATAATTTAAAAAAATTATGACTGTATCATTTTCTTTTACAAATAGAAAAGTCGAGTGTTTGAGTCGGGTTTAACTCTAATGCTGTTGTGGGGTTTGTTTCTTACACACTCCTTTTAGACTGTGTGGGGTAAGTTGTCACAATGCAAGCAAATCTGGAAGACAAAATTCACAATTTAGTTTTTGTTTATTGGAAGATTGTTTGAGTATGTTTTACAGGAAAATACTATTTCAATATTTCTTCTTCACAATTTAATATTTAATTCAATGTTCTGCTTTGTAATTGTTTGTGAAATTTAGCTATTTCTCTTTAAAAATACTTCCTATACCAATTTGAATTTTTTTCAGTCTTGTACAGTTTTGAACTAGTTGTTTGAAAATAAATCTCTAAAAGAAGCATTAAAGACCCTGTGACAACTAGCCCCGGTGCGCATTTGCATTGTGCTTGACAGGATTAGATGAAGATGCTCATTTATCTTAATGTTTGTGGATTCTTAATGTTCTCATGCTAAGTTAATTTTATGAGGGAGCTAAAGTGTTTCATGGATGAAAACATGTCTGACAGGAAAATGATGAAACCTGCTAAACTTCTGTGTCGATTCTTGAGGCGTTTGAACTGCTGGGTTTTGTTGAACATTAGCATCTCTCTCTCTCTCTCTCTCTCTCTCTCTCTCTCTTAAAACAATAAATAACTAAATACATTTCCAGAATATACATGCATTTTAACAACACTTTGTTTTTTTGTGTATTCTCTTTTCTCTCTCTCTCTCTCTCTCTCTCTCTCTCTCTCTCTCTCTCTCTCTCTCTCTCTCTCTCTTTCTATCTCTCTCTCTCTCTCTCTCTTTCTATCTCTCTCTCTCACTTCAGGCTGTTTGAGAGGGTTGATGTGAAGTGATGTAAATTTATCAAAATGCATTGCACACTGTTTCCAAATCCTATTTCCGCCTCACATTGGCTTTGGGGGGGCACAAGAACTAGACATTCATCTGGGCCTGCGCTCCAGAAAAATAACGCATCAGAAGATGTGAAGCTGCACATGCTTGGATGATTCATCTGCATGAGATCATTTTGGGATCAGATGTCATCTGATGTTGTAGTATTTCCATACTGTAATGTCCAGATATGACACAGCTGTATATTCTCATACTGTCCTCTACAGGAGACACTGAGAACTGCAGGAGCTCGATCACATCATACAACTATTTTAAACTTTTTTGTTTTTGTTTTTGTGTGTGGAAATATTATGCATGCAGATTATAAGTTTTAAGCTTGAAATATATAGATTTTTTTTATTTATTTATGTTTTGATGTCTCCTGCTCACCAAGGCTGCACTTATTTAAACAAGTGTGTATTTAAAAATGTAATGTATTTCTGTGATGCGCAGCTGTATTTTCAGCATCATTCCTCCAGTCTTCAGTGTCACATGATCTTCAGAAATCAGTATAATATGCTGATTTGCTGCTCGAGAAACATTTCTGATTATTATCAATGTTGAAAACAGTTGCGCTGCACAATATTTTTGTGGAAACTGTGATGCATTTAATTTTTACGATTCACAGATGAACAGAAAGTTCAAAAGAACAGCGTTTATATGAAATAGAAATCTTTTGTAACATTATAAATG